ATAATGTTATTTAATACTAAATACTTAAACCATTTGATTTAGCAAAACAGTTTTTCCTGCTTCTCCTCCTGTGAGCCGTCTTAAATGACAAGCTTGACTTGCTCTTGACCAGTGACGGATTTGTCCCAAGGCCTAGTAGGCCCGGGCCTAGGACGGTGAAATTTTAGGGGCGGCCAATCGAGACAAAAAATTCACGCACATTATGGCGGGCCGCACTGCACCGCACCGTATAACAGTAATCTTCCTAAATCACTTTCATATATTTTATGTATAAAATATAGATATGTTACATATCTATAATGTAATGTATAAACACTACATCACTACATATTATCACTACCGCGTCTGTCTGATTGTCTGGTCGTGATAAACTCAAAAGCTACTGAACGGATTTTCATGCGGTTTCCACCAATAGACGGAGTGCTTTATATTTAACATTGACTTACAAATAAATGGACGACGGGTCTAATACAAAAACCACGAAAAAAATGTCCCAAGTCAACCTATTTAAGCGTAGTGACATGTAAAGGAATATGAAAAAGCTAAAACGTTGAATTTAAATTGTAATGTCATCGCAGTACTGTCTAATTTTGCTTGTTTCGCTGTCAGTCGAACAAACGAAGACTAAAGCGTGAATGACGCTCTGTATACGATTTTAACGCCCTATAAGTTCGGACACTTTTTAGCGCGGACCCGACGTCCATATAATTGTAAGTCAATGATATTTAACTAAATTTCTGAATCGATTTCGATAAAAGTTGGCAATAAAGTCAATTCATTATTTAGTTACCAGTATATGGTGAGCGCTGAGAAAGCGGCTGGTACTGACTACATGGCCTGGGACCTAGGGCGGCCAAGACAGCAAATCCGCCACTGCTCTTTACCCTATACAAACTAGAGTCGACTCAAAAAGGTCGAGCGTGTTGCGGAGATTTCTTGCGTAGTCTCGGCTATTTCCGCACCTATCATGTCAATTCGTGTCTAGTTTACAATACCACAACAATATCGTTACAAAACAATATTGGGACAAACACAATATGAAATTTAATAATATAAAAGTGACTACATGTTACTTTAATCAATTAAATAATTGGCAGTGCAACACATGTAAATCTTTATTACTTATCTATTGTTAACAAATGATTACGTTCTAATAATAGATAATAATTGCAATTATTATTTTTCCATTTTGTGACAACCCTTGCATATTGGAGTAGGTACGACAACGTTGCGGTCAGTTGCGCTACTGTAGGAAAGATTTTGCAATACTGTGACGTTGTTAAAACGCTATACACTAACCGATTTCAAGCGCCCTGTGTCAAGGTAAGCGTGGGCCCATGTTATCGGGCGCCGCTATTATTAATTTAAATATATGTCGCCCTAATTAGAGACTCTTTTAATAAACCTCCCTAGGATAAAGTTAGGGTCCCATGAAATCGGGTATTTTGATAAGTTTCAAGTTCGTTTAAGTTTCAAGCACGCATTAGAGCCATGCCACACGACACGTCGCGCGTGACCATGATGTTGCGTTTTGTATACATATAAATCAGAGTGACATGACACACGGTGCGTCGAAATGACGCGCCATGCCTAACGTGACCATTTTTTGACACCCTCAGAGCGGGACATCTGTCAATGAATCATTATTTAAAACTAAAACAAATGTTTATGACAGTTACGAAATGTTTAAGGATTAAAAAAAAATAAAAAAGGGCTTAAAATGTTTAATTATCAAGAATAAAAAAAAAGATCTAATCTAGTGACCTGGCTGGCTTTATATATTTTTCGCTTTCGTGATATTTTTTTAAAATTTATGTCACTTGTATCTAATTTAAACTAAACTGTCAAAGCGGGACGTATGGTCACGTTAGCCATGCCCCACAGCAAGCAACTTAGTACGTTGAAATCGTAGCGTGTGGCATGGCTCTTATGTACAATATCTGATCATACCTCATTCGAAGTAGGTATCCGACATAGTTAAGTAAGATAGGATGGTGTATTTATATGTAACTCAACGCAATTGTCTAGGCACGTTAACTGATCAAGCAACATTTTATTTAATTATTCTAAAGCGCATCATTCAATGGGGAACACTTTAGCCGTGTTGGCGGAGTAAGCCGACATGTTTGCAACAAATGCTTGTCAGCCGACATGTCTATCAACTATTTTATCGTGGCCATGTATTGCAAACATATTGGCAAGCATATTGGCCGATCATTGATGTGCTTGATGTACACGTACCGACGTCGCTACACATCGCAATGTTATTACAATAGTATATATCGCACTGTTAATACAATAGTGTATTAACTCAAAAAGAGGATCAATGAAAAACTAATTACTCACTTCCCCAAAAAAAATCATTAAATTTATATGTTATAGTTTATCATAGACACAAACAATTTCTCAAATGTATTTTTAAAATAAAATGGAAAAAGTAATTTTATGTTTTTTTTGATTAGGATTATTTTGGCCAGCACTACCTCACATAAAGTGTGTCTCTTTTTGAGTTAAGTAGATATCTTTTGAAATGATATGGTCTTGAATTTCATATACTTTGAGTAATAACACTATTGTAATAGCAGTACGATATATTAACTCAAAAAGCGTATTTTTTCATAATCGATGAAAAGCAGTTTACACGTTTCCCCTGAACTAATGTAATAAAGTTTATGTATAGGTTAAAGTTTCACACACGTCCTCTCTTGTCGAATTACGATTATAATTAAACGTGACGTAGTAATGTTGGAATGGGTGTTAAAAAAGTTTCTTACAATATTCTAACGATGTTTTTACTGACGTGTAGATAATCAAACTTCACGTTCAGAAATGATATAATCTTGAATTTTACATATTTTCAGTTACAACACTATTATAATAGCAGTGCCACATATTTATTCGGCGGGGGCGTCGATATGCGTAATATTTATAAAGCTCGATTACATTATCTAAATGGATATTATTTATGATGTGATAAATGATTTAAATGCAAACAAACTTGTCAATTTCACACCTACGTTATTGGCCACCCAAGTATTAATCGATTTTAAGCATAAGGGCTATGTTTTTCCATGAAGCTTTTTCATAAATACAAAAAGAAAAAAAAAATATTTTTTTTTGTTTCTTCTTTTGTATGACAAAACGATAATAAAAAATAAAATAACTTTAGAGCACAAAATAAAATAATTAGGTACATTTAAAATCGCACCTCCGGGAAAACACAGACTAACTGCAAAATATTTTGATTCCAAACCATTTTTAATGCAATTTATACGGAAAAACACAAACGCGTTTCCTTCATTTTTCTATAGAGGGCGCAATACGTATTACGTATTGAAACAGGGTAACATTTATGAGCTCTTCAAATGTGCTCGGTAGCCCTAAGTACAAACTTTTAAATCATTTTCTATAAATTTTAAAACACTGGCGGTGTGAAATGTTATCAAAATGGTCTCCATTCAGCCTTTTAGAATGAGACGTGTGAAAACACCTTGTTACGCTGGTCTCCACTGAATCCGAATAAATGACAAGGTTAATATCGTTCAAGTAAAATTAAAAAAATAAAAAATAGTAGCTATCATTTATAAGCGTAAATCAAAACTAAATATGTCGTCATAGCGTAAACCGTTTTTTTTTTTTGCAAAAAAGCGAATAAATAAATAAACATTAGACAACATCACGTCAAAAATGCTTTTACCATGTAAAAGTTATATTTAAAAAAAAACGAACTAACTATACTCTATACTATAGAGGATGGAAAAACTATACTAAACACTATGGATGATCCCTGTGACACTTCATTTGACGTTTATCATAGGGATGAGGTAAAGTCGTTACATTTTTAATATACTTATTTGATTTTTAAAGCAAAATCTCGTAAGCGCCCAGCTACACGACGCGAAAGTTTTCGCGCGGCGACGGCCAGTTACCATGCCTTCACGTACATTAATGGCGAATTTGAATTCTATTTACTAGGCAACAACATTTAAACTCTTCGGCATAGTACCCGCCCGGTCGCCGCGCGGCGTGAGTGCGGTGAAATTCGTGTCCGAATAAACGCGCCCTTATAGTTTTATTTGTGTTCTGAACGACATCTATATGTCGTTCGTCACAACTATAATTTAGATGCAATTTTAATTGGTATTTTAGTAAATTTAAAATCTAAAAACATTTACTTATTTAAGTTTCAAAAAAGTAATAACACTGACACGTCAATTTATTGCCCACCATTAAAGTTAGTACTTTTTAAGAATGAAACACGCTCTATATACATTTTTTCATAGCAAATGCAGTCTAATGAAGTAACCTTTGCACGTCGTCGTAAAAAAATAATGATTTTTAGAAAATAAATGATTTTTCGCTCATTTCTCATAAGTAAACTTTGAATTGGTGTTATTTTTTAGTGTAATATCCTTACTGAAACAAAAACTATTCATTTTAAAGCGAGGCTTATAAAAATAATTTATGAAATACGTAAATCAGTGCACGGCGTTACAAGGTTATATTTTGTAGAATTTTATGGACTGTCACAGGAATCATCCTAAATTATATTTTTTAGTACATGAAGCAAATTACGTATTATGTAATATTTTATAAATATGCTATTTAAGCATTGACTTACAAATAAATGGACGACGGGTCTAATACACAAACCACGAAAAAAATGTCCCAAGTCAACCTATTTAAACGTAGTGACATGTAAAGGAATATGAAAAAGCTAAAACGTTGAATTGAAATTGTAATGTCATCGCAGTACTGTCTAATTTTGCTTGCTTCGCTGTCAGTCGAACAAACGAAGACAAAGCGTGAATGACGCTCTGTATACCATTTTAACGCCCTATAAGTTCGGACACTTTTTAGCGTCCTTTTGACCCGACGTCCATATAATTGTAAGTCAATGTATTTAAGCATAAAAAGTATCCAATCATTTACTTTGTAGAATCTTTAAACCTTTTTCCTGAAAAATTACCATTGCGCAAATTTGGCCTTATTACACAATGGCTGCGAATTCAGCTCCATCCAAGGTTGTATACGCAACACGGTTTCGCCACCTCTTAGCTGTTTCTAATATGTTTAGTATTAAAACTGTGATAACCAAAGTTGGCAGGTATTCAAAACACGGTTTACCATATCCTGCTATGAGATAGACTAAACGCCATACACATTATCACTGCAGATTTCTATTCTACGCTTATAGAGAGTAACTGATTACAATTTTGAATAGAAAACTAAACCAAAGCGTTCATAATCACCAGAACAATTCCAAGTAAGTTTTCCGCTAGACTGACAGCGGAATTAGTACTCTTCATGGTTTTAGAGGCTTGCGTTTCAAAGGGTATAGTCTTGTTGGTCATCCAGTAGTAAACATCGAGCATTCCCTGCGCGTTCAGTTCTGGGCCCACAATCTTTCTTATCCGCTCGTTGTATGCGTTTAGCCAGAGTACCTAAGAATAAATAATGTTACTGAAGTCAAGAGGTACCGCCATTATGTATACAGGTTCACCCGTAAAATGCTAACAACTTTGCAGGACTATATTACTAACATCACAAACAATAAGTTTTTCACCTCACTAGCTCGGAAAGGCTTTCTTTTCCATTAGAAATCTGCACGCAAAAGCGTTTTCTCCACGCTATGCGCTAGTGTAGAAAAAGTTTTTAAAATTCGTACTTGACGTGCGATTTGTCGTACATTACTTATGTATGTAATATAGATCCGTTGGTATATTTTATTCTTATTATGGTTGACATTAAATTGACAATGTTAACTACTTGTGTTTATTAAATAATTTTAATTCGTGAAAAAACTAAAATAATTTCAATAATCGCACAAAATAAAAGTATGTACAAGCAAGAATAAAAATTGATGAGGTGCAATTTCAGAACGCATCCGAAGAGAATTTTTTTCTTTTAATTAAAAAAAACTGATGTTTTAAAGTTCAACTGTTTTTCTTTCATCAACCATAGTGAGGTGAAAAGTTGTATGTTTCCCTCGGCAGCAAAGTTGTTTTGCGTCTCGTGGCTTGAAACCCTCGCCACGCTCAGGAATCTACTTCGAACCACCCGCTTCGCTCGTGGTTCAATCTTAGCCTCATTCGCTTGCAAGTTTCAATACAAGCACTCAACAACAACTCAATACAACAAATAACTATTTCACCTCACTCTCGGAAAGGCTTTCTTTTTCAAATTCTGCGCGCAAAAGTGTTTTTTTCACGCCAGCGTAGAAAAGGTTTTTGAAATCCGAACTTGACGATGGACTGTGGTGCACCTAATTTTTTCTTTCGATGAAAAAAACATAATGACACGTTCAACTACGCGATTTGTCGTACAATATGTATGTAATATTAATCCGTTACTATATTTTATTCTTATTATTATTAGTTTAAAATAATTGACAACGATAACTAATTTTGTTTCTTAAAACTGATTTGTCAAATTCAACTGTTCTTTCATCTATCATTTTCTTGGCTATAGTGAGGTGAAAAGTTGTGTTTCAAACAATAACTTTGAAAGAAAGAAAGAAAGACAACAAACATATTTTTTATTACCTCGTAATCCGTGAGCATGCTCTTGTCAATGAGCTTCGGGTCGAAAGGTACAAGTGTGGTCTCGAGGAAGCCCAAATATCCCTCTGGTTTGGTCACCACCTCCAGCACGTTTCCCAAGCGCACCCCAAACTTGTTGCTCTGGTACCATGCAGGTTCTGAAGCAAATTGATAAAATATGAGAAAACATTTAAAGGATCCTTCACAGGTGTCGCTTACAGTGACAAAATCCGAAAAAATCGAATACAAAAGATGTGTAAGAAATACGTAAAGTTTGTTGACTCAATCTGCAGTTCAGTTGGTAAGGCGGTAGCCCTGGATTGAGTCACTGACGCAGGTTCGGGTCGAATGAATTTTTCTTAGTGTTCGATCTTTATATTACCTAATAACAACTAGTGGAACAATTTCACAAAAAAATAAAATTAATAT